AATGGCTGGTATGCTTTAGCCCACTCTTGCAGTGTGTAGGAAAATATATTTACTTTTCAATATTATAACAATCAATCAAGAAAATTATGGAATAAACCATGGGATTTGTCGGAGGAATTGAAGGGGTTGACTGATTAATTATAAAATAAATATTACAAATACGGGTTTTTTTATATAATTTTTTTTTCATATATCAATATAATATGTAGCTATAGTCATTTTTGTGTCTACAAATAGGTCATCATAACTAAACTACATCAATATATTGTCTTTTGTATTATTTGTTTTTTTTTATGTTCTTAAAATTTAAGATAATGCGCCTAATTTAGTATGTATAAATTGAACACAAATTTCTTGAAGTTCAATAATAAAAATGTTAATGAATCAGTTTTCACATATTTCGTAACTTATTTTTCTCTAAACGTAATTAAAGGACTTTTTTAACGTATAATTTTAGATATTTTAAGAATAAATTTTTAAAAATACTGATCACGTGGATCGAAATCTATATTTAATTTAAAAGTTGATGCTTGTGTAGGATCAAGATTGAACAAAATTGAGGGTATCAAATTAAGTGCGTTTACACAATTTGACAAGAAATGAGGTGGGCTCTTTTCCTTTATGAATTGAGGTCATAAGAAAATTATTTTTGTGAATATATAAATTGGACACAAATTTCTTTAAGTTCAATAATAAAAATATTATTGAATCTGTTTTTACATATTTCGTGACTTATTTTTCTTTAGGATATTTTTCAAAGTATAATTTTAGATATTTTAAAAATAAATTTTTAAGAATACTAGTCATATAGATCGAAATTTATACTTAATCCAAAAGTTGATGCTTGTTTAGGACAAAGATTGAACAAAATTGAGGGCATCAAATTAAGTGCGTTTGCACAATTTGACAAGAAATGAGGTGGGCTCTTTTCCTTTATGCATTGAGTTGCTCAGTGTCTTGAAGTGAACAAAGTCTTCGAGCATGTGATCAAATCCTGAATATTCATAGCCAAAATCCAGTGATGCACAATAGAGCCAAAAAACGACGTGTCAATATCACGAGAATGGGAGCATGTTGGGGTCTTGTATTGTGATATAATTGATGAATTAACATTAGGAAAAAGACACAACATTAGCCAATAATGTTAGAAAAAGGTGAAATAGGCTTATGTATTGATCAAAGCAAATAGAATTGCCTAGTAAGGCCAAAACATCCCATTTTCTTTCCAACTAGCCAGACCTCTACCATACAAAAAAAAAAAAATCTACTTAGCACTTTGTTCCTCCTCGGATTGCGGCATTTGATCCGCCACTTAATCAATCTCTTTATTCTTTATGTATTAATTGTTCCAATCAAACACTTACAAGGAAGAATAGGTCCTTTTCACATATGAAAAAGTTCTAGGTTCTAAGTTGTAGTGGAGTAAAGTTAATTATAATTCTAAATGATTAGTCTCGTAGTTAAAAATATTAGTTTCGTTTCTTTAATTCATGAATTTGGCTTTTTATTAATTGAATTAGAATAAGTATTTAAAAAAATTTATCCAAATATACCAAGTCAATGTAAAAAGTGTGTTTCTAAAATTGTTAGAAAAAATTAGTTTCGATTGACGCAAAAGTTGACCCAGCAATATTTTTATCTTAAAAAAATACAATTATTTCGAATCTAGAAGAGGTCCTAAGAAAATTATTTTTGTGAATATATCAATCTAAATATGAATGGTTTGCTTAAAACTCGATCAGAGAATTAATTAGTCTTATCAAACGTGAAAAAATAAAAAATAATTTTTGGTACAAGATTGTTTTATAGAGTAAATTATAAATTAATTCTTCTAGTTTTGAAAGACAAAATAAATAGTTTTTTTTTTAATAATTAATTAGTGTCTTAATCAATGTTGACCATTAATTTAATATTACTTTATTCCATAAAAATTCTTTTATCATCAATCTTTTACTTCTTTTATTTTTTTATAAAAAAATAAAAATAATTTAAGAACGAAAATAATTAAATTACAAATAATTTTTTTAAAATAGGATTAATTAATTAGTTTTTAAAACTTGAGGGACTATTTAATGATCTTGAAAAAAATAAAAGGATTACTTTATAATGTACAATTTTACATGGCCGTTACTTGTGACAAACTGACAATGGTTGGTTCTCTCGCTGGTTCATGGAATGTAACCCTTTTTTTTTAAAAAAAAAACCTGGATGATCCTTTCCATGAATTCAACGTTAAAGGAACAACCCATTATATTATATATGGACTTAATTCATGGCGTGTCTATAGGATGTCCCTCTTGTTTTATATATATATATATATTTCAATACTTCTAAATTCTAACACGTATGTGTACTTTCTATTTTTTCAAGTGCTGACTCCACTGAAGACTAGGGAGTCTGATTTCGTTGAAACTGAATCAATCTAGCTAAATTGGAGTTCTATTTGGTTATTTCGATTCTAATTTCCTACTTAGAACAATTTTTTCTATTTTATTCTTTCGGTTCAATTCAATTGGAGAAATCAAATCATATCCACCAAACATATTATCATATATAGGGTTTAAGATTTAAACAGATTTTTAATCTAAAAAACATAATGTTTACTGTCAACAATTTTCTATAACCTAACCACTTTTCATTTGATTAAAAAAATTCAATCACCCATTTGACTCAGACTATTTAAGAATCAAATCAAGCATGAATTGAATCAAATCGTTTGGTTCTGCAAGCGTCAACTTATAGATTAGATTTAAATTTAAATTTTATAGTTAATATTTTTTAGAATTTATTCTCATATTTAAAATCGTGCATTGAGTAGTGTCTCTTAATCATACTTAAAGAAAAAATAATTTCAAAATGTACAAAATCTGATTACTAAAAATTGAAAAAAAAAAAACTGTAACACTATTCAAATTCTTTCCTGATATTGAGATTAAAAAGAAAATGGAATTGCATCGGCGCATCCATTTTTAAAATCAAACCAACTAAATAAACACGAATTTTTTTAACAAGCCAAGGAAATTATTAGTGAAAATGCTTAAATTCAAGCCGATATGCAATGATTTGTATTTCAATTAATGTTTTTCCTCTATTCACGAAGTCTTGGATATCTTAATATTGTTAACCCAAAACAAATCAAACCAATTATTTATTCAAGAATATATATATATATATATAAAATAATGATGCCCTCCTTTCCTCCGAGGCAACACACGTGTGGAGACAAACACATAATTTGCTCGTCTACCATCCACCAACTCTGCAGTCAGGTCTTCGAAATGCTATAAAATACAAGATTTTTTGCTCACCTGGCTACATGTAATTAATTAATTAACCGTTTTTTTTTTTTTTTTTTGGAAAATAGGAGACACTTGTACTAGGAGTGAATTATAAATTAGTCCCTCTGATTTTGCAAACAAATTAAAAAATCCCTTGTTAAAAAATAATTATTTAATCTCTTGATCAATATTGATTGTGATTAATTTAATATTATTTATTTTAAAAAATGTATTTCTGTCTTGACAAACTTTTCATAGTATTTAGTCTTTTTTTATTTTCATTTTTCTATTTGTTAAAAAAAACAAAATTCAAAAAGAAGAGATGAAAAGGATTAAGTTAAAATGGATTTAAAAATATAGGGAGTACTTAATTAGATAATATTGAAACTAGATATACTATTTAATTTATTTTAAAAAACTAGAGGGACTAATATATAATTTACTCCTTGCACTAGCTATAAAACCAACTGCTACAATAAATGTTTGGTTACCTAAAACAAGTGCAAGAAAGCAAATGTGACCCTCTCTTTCTTTCCAGCACAAAAATTATTATCCTTAACAAATCTGAAATCTAATTGTTCTGTAGTAATTTTTTTATTTAGAAAATATAAAGCTTGACTGGTGTCGGCATGTATGCATCTCAACATTCAAGACAAAAGAATCTCTTTCAATTAATGAGTAGAACATGGAATCGGTAAATACTGCATAAAACCAGGAATACGAAACAAGCTGCAGTGGTTAATATTATTTTTCCTCGAACAGAAGAATTGGTCTATTTTATATTTTCTGTAAAGATATAGAGTTGAATTTTAAAATCATATTTATTGAGAAAAAATAAATTTTATTATTCTCGTTTCAAATATTATTAGTCTATTTTCAATATGAGATGATGATATTTAAAAAAAAAATAGTTTCATCTCATATTTTATATCCAAGCTGATTCTTAATGAAGCAATATAGAAACCTCAAGCAATGTTTTTTTAATGCAATCATTTTTTTTTCTGATGGTTGGGGTATCTTAGGCTCAAAAATTTATAACGATCTCTCGTTATTTGCTCGAATCTGTAAAATAGACAAAACTACTCAATAAATTTTTTACATATATAATAATTTAAAATCGAAACTATTTGATTAAGCAATTAAAATTCTTTATGATTAGTATTGCAATCATTTTTTAAAAATAATATGGTGCTTCTTGAATTGGAAAAGGACATTCATTACAACATGGAAGGAGAGCAATTAAAAGTGGGATTTTCATAGATCAAAAACATCGTCAAACCATTTTTTTCTTCCACATTTAACTTCTTCTTCTTCTTCTTCTTTTTTTTAATTCAATGACAAGGATAAAGTTAAATATATTTTGAGTTAGCTTGTTCCTTAATTAAGATTAAGTTTTTTTTTATAAATGATCTTAAAAATACATCCGTAGATCAATCAGGTATGTTCATGAAAATTTATTTTTTCACGAATGTAAGTTTGAACTTATATAAAAAAAAAATTAACCATTAGACTAACACTGTAGAGTTGTATTCAACACAATCAAAGAAGGATTGAAAACAATGTTAAAACTTCGAGCTTAATCTTCTAAGTTGTTTACATAATAATACTTCTCTATTTTATATGCTAATTAAATAAGAGGGTACGAAAGAGGGGGAAAAAAAACTGTTTAACAATTTGTATAATAATTGTGTACCTTACAAATAATTAGCAATATGTAATAAGTCATTCATTGGTTGCATGGTCGCACTCTAAGCTCAAATGAGTTGCACCCACTCCTGCATTTTCATCCACACCCGATCTTATTAGTAAACAAATGAACTTTGTTAATGACATTTTAGTGAATCCCAAAAGCTTAACATCATTGTTTTGAATAATTTCTTTAAGAATCACAAACTTGCATTAAGATATTGCATTGCATGATGATGATGATGATAAAGAGGGGAATTATTCTTATCTTGTTCAGAGCTTGAAACTTCTCCAATGGGCAACAGAGCATCAATTTATTTGTCTTTCTACTTGAAAAAGACTCTTGGTGTACCCCATTTAGGCATATGGTATAATTTCTTTCATGATAGAACAACAAGATTTGAACATGTTAGACCTACTATCCCTATCAATGAATTCTCTTCTTTCCATCTTTTATTATTCATCATTTCTAGCAGACTAATCAATTAGCAAATCTTTTAAACCATTTGCTAAATTTGACCAAAATGGTTTGATTTTGAAGCCCCAATTTTCGCAAAATCTATGCACAACTAATAAATTTGACCAAAAGGATTTCTATTATTTCGAACCACCACAATTAATAATTAATCATAGATAATTGTAAGAAATTGATTTGACATAAAAAAAAGTATGTTTTTTTATTTATTTTAATTTTGAAGTCAGTATCTAAAGAAATTTATTTCTTTGAAAAACACCATATCGTTATAGATGGTTTATCATTCCAGTTTGTTTTGTGCATCCGATTAAATAACGGGAGATTAATCTAAATTTTTAAATTTTAAATACCCCGAGACATGAAAAAGAATAAAAAAAAAATAATAAACCATACTTCCTTAATCACTATGCCAACTGCTTTTGGAGTTTTCCATAATCAATTTAAAAAGTGTCCATATTGCTTTTCTGAAGAGGCTCCGTAAGCATTAAAAATTCATAAACTATCTAAAGTGCATCTGTTATCTCTATGATTTTTCCATATTCCTTTCAACATTAAATCAATACTTTCACACATAACTTTCTTCTTGTTATTAAAAATTGAAAAAATAAAAAATAAAATGGCAACTGTTGAAGTTCTGTTTACAAAAGAAGACCCCCCCAAAAAAAAAAAAACTTTTATTAAAGTTTAAATAATTCGAATGCGAGGCTGCCGACAATGTGTTCACCTTATGTAACCAAACCTGCAAGACAACATAAGAGGGTGCAAGTAACCTACACTTTATATTGAACCAATGACAAATAAAATACCTAATTAGGCAGATTATTAACTTACTTATTGACAATTTAGATAAATGATACTTAAGAGCTGAAAATAGGAAATAATTTGAAATTTCGATCTTTTATTTATAAACTTACTATTTTTTTTTTAATTTTAGAATCATTAGTATTCTGGAATTAGTTTCGCATAATGACATTAATATATCTTTTCTGTTCAATCGTAGATACACTATCTATATCAGGATTGAAAAATTTATGAAAAAAATCAGTTGCTGAAGTGATAAAAGGAAAAAAAAAAAAAAGATGTAAAGTAAGTTCAGACAAATTATTCTCATTTTACTGTTAATGCAGATTTTACAAGGGCCAATCAGTGAAGTAAAAAGTAATTGTTAGATTCGCCAACAGCAGGAGAGAAAAAAGGAAAAGCGAAACGTGGTACAACCAAGGGTCCATCCGTCCATGCAAAAATTGTCTGGCTCACATGACTAGCAGTTTCTCAGATCCAACAACTATTAACCAGTCCCTTAAGGCATTGTCTGCTACATAAGCAAACCAGTATGTCCCAAAAAAAAAAAATATTAAAGAGAAAAAAGGTAAAAAAGACTAGTGCAGAATCCAAGAAAAGCCACGAGAGGCCACATGAGAATGAGGTGTGAGAAGAGTTTCCCATTTTCTCTCCATTGTAAAATTTCTTTATCTTTTGTTTAGAATTTTAACGTGGTAGGGAGAGAGAATAGCACAATCAGATATCTTGCCCATTGGTGTGAATTGGGCTGGAAACAAACTTTTCCAGAAGAATATTGAATTTGAAGAAACAGATAAATCTTTTCAAGTCCTTTAGATCTGTTTTGAGTTTTTACTCAACAGGTTGATGCCAACATTCCACCACACACCCACCACCATTACCACAATTCTCAGTTTCTTTCTCTCCTTTTGTCCTTGACAGGCTTCAATGGTGGTGACTTATTAGGTGTGCTGTCTTTTGCTTCCATTGCTTTCTTGGCCTTCATGGTTCTCTGAAAGTTTGAATCTTTCTTAATTTCTTGGACCAAAGACCCTGTCTTTATCACTTTCACCATATAAAAGCCCAAAGCTCAGCAATACACAAATCACTCTCTCTGTTGTTTCGGGGTGGGGTTGATAATATTTTTGGTGGTTTTAAGTACTTTTTTGAGATACACTTTTAAAAGAGTGATCTGGGTGTCCTATAAATTGGCTAGTACATGCATTTCTGGTTGTATCTGAGTCTAAGGTAGCGTTTGGTTGTCCAAAGTTGTGGGAATTCTCGATACAGAGGCAAAAGGGTATCCAAAATTGTTTTCCATTTGTGCATTTTTGGTGCTTTTATCATTTTTAGGTTCTATTAACATGGTTGTTCAGAAAATGGTGGCTGGAAATGGGCTACTCTACCCAATTTTTGGTTTTGCATCATGCGTGGCTTTCATTTACATGTCTTTTGGTGACTTTATACTCATCAATCATCAAGAACACAAAGAGATAAGTTTTGTGGAGAGAAATGGGACTCGGTTTATGGTTGATGGTAGGGTTTTTTACATTAATGGATGGAATTCTTATTGGTTGATGGACCATTCTGTGGATGAAGATAGGAAACCTAGAGTTAGTGCAATGCTGGAAGCTGGTGCCAAAATGGGTCTCACTGTTTGCAGAACTTGGGCCTTCAATGATGGTGGCTACAACGCACTCCAGGTCTCCCCTGGTAGATTCGATGAGCGGGTCTTAAGGGTATGGCAATTGCTTTATTCCTTGTAGTTTAATTTTGCTTTTTCGAATGCAGATAAATTGCTTGAAAATTATGGATACGGTTGTTGTATAAACTCCACCTTGCGGTTTTAGGCTATTCTATCTGGTAGTCGTTCTGATTTTTCATCCCTCGCTTTACTTCTGTTTAAAAGTTAGCTTAATTGATTAGTGTGTTCGAACAAATGAATTAGTGTTAATCAATTAATTGCCCATGAGACAACAGTCACCAAGCCTCAATCCTAAACTAGTCAGGGTCGGCTACGTGGATCCTTTTGTGCCATTCCCCGCGATCATAGACTCATTGCCCTTGAAAACTAAGTCAAAAAGTCAGAAAGGATGCTAATGCATGACACCTAATTGGGTTTGTTGAAAAATCACTACAGTCCATAGATACGCCATTAATACTGCCTGCATGTGCTCAGCTAATCAGGTCTGTCTTTTACTGTGCTTTAATTGAGGAGATATGACTCCTTGAACTGTAAATGAGAAAAGCACAAGGCCATTAAGAATAAAAACAAAGGAAATAAGTAGATCATATCAATGCCCTATAGAGAGTTAGCAGCATGCATTAAGGATCCATAGGACTTTTAGTGCCTTCTATTTTGTCCTCTAATTAAATTTATCAGAAAGAACAAACTTTAAAGTTTTATGCTTTAATGATTTTGATATGTAATTTCTATTTCATTATCTTTATACTGCCTTGTCAATTGTTGGTCAATCCTTCAGTTTGAATGCCCCAAAATATATTCATGACAAAAACTCTGCCTTCCCCGCACATAAACTTTCAATGAAGAAATAATTTAGGCTAAAAAGGGTCAAGTCCTTAAAAAAAAATTTCTCTTCGATGTTTATACTGAAAGGTATTGAAGTTTTTCATGGTATTAGCTCATTAAAAATGTCCAAAGCAGAGAATGCATTTTACTAATTTCGTCGTTTTCAAGATCAATAATTATAATACCAGCATTATTCTAATCACTGAGATTTTGGCAGGCTTTGGATCATGTTATTGCAGAAGCCAGGCAACACGGGATCAGACTACTTCTTAGTTTAGTCAATAACTTAAAAGCATATGGTGGAAAGACTCAGTATGTGAATTGGGCATGGGAGGAAGGCATTGGTTTGAGCTCGTCAAATGATTCTTTCTTCTATGATCCATCTATCAAAAGATATTTCAAGCATTATGTAAAGGTACTTGTTGTGCTAGCTATCTTGAAATAACTATAGAGCCAAATTAGGACAGCTTTTGAGTTCTCTTGTCAAGGATGTGTAATAACATATCATCGGCACAGTTGAGTCTCTTTCCAAGTTTTGTTGAAAAGGAAAATTTTGCTCTCTTGCATCTTGTAGAATAAATGTTGGCAAATAGTACTCAGGCTTTTTGGTATGCCCCTAAAATGGAAGTTGATAGATGCTAGACATATTCACATTAGCAGGAGTCATTTAGATTAGAATAAAACAGAATGTCCAATTATTCACAATTGAAGCCTCTGTTAGCTATCCTTTTTTTACAGAAATAAGCCATATCACCACATACCTTAAACCTGCTGGTGAAATATGTTGAATGTAACTGATTGCCAGAGATGACTGCACCGCACATCTTAATCTAGAATGGGGGACCAATGCCTTCAGCAATCATTCATGGACTTAGGAAAAGTTATGCTCCTGCAAGATTATTTAGACTTCATCTGATGATAGATAGCATGAGTAAATGAAAGAAACTTCTCGTAATGTCTTTCTTCGTAAGTTTTTAACTATTTAGCTTTCATTTGCTTGTGTTCCCTAAGATGAAGTTTGGATTGTATTTACATGCTTAAAACCATGATTGTTTTCATTGTAAGAACTATTTAGCTGTCAGATACAGAATAGTATGTTTTGGTGCGTGTATTTTTCTTGTTAGTCATACTGGAACAATCAGGATGTACAGCTAGCAGCACTTCTTTTACCCTGATCTTCCTATATTTGATATCAAGCTCTTAAAATTTTGGTGTAACGATGATATGTTATTACACCAATGTCATGCCTGCTTATCTTGCAAGGTAGTGTGGGAACTTGTTAAGTTATAATCTCAATAATACTTGGAAGTATATGTTTTCTTCTCTAGGAATTGTTTTATCATTTCTAAACCAAGTCCTCTTTCCAGACTTTGTTGACCAGGAAAAACACCATCACAGGGATTGAATATAGGAATGATCCCACCATATTTGCATGGGAGTTGATGAATGAACCCCGCTGCATGTCTGATCCTTCAGGCAACACTCTTCAAGTAAGCTGTCAACTGTTTTCCTTTTTTTTTTTTCCCTTGCAAACATCAAGTACTTCCAAACTTAAAGCCAACTTTCTTATAAAATCATAAATTTCCTGGACTTTGGACCTCTTCGTTTTAAAATTGATCACTATAATAGCAACTCTAATATCTTTTCTGCGAAATCCTCATGAATAGGTGTGCTAGATTACAGAAAATATGTACTAAACTACCTTGCATGACTTTTGCACTTTTCTGACAACTGAATGGAGGAAGCAGATGTATGTATTTCAAACTTAGTTAAGTTGTAAACTGCCATAACCAAACGTAATTCTGCCTTTGCTTACTTGTGTGTTTAGAGAACAGACTAAGAAGAGGGAGAGAGGCTTTTTTTTTTAACCCCTGAACTGATTGATTTGCATGCTAGTATGCATTAACTTATGGCATTGAATTGCAGGATTGGATAGAAGAAATGTCAGCTTTTGTGAAATCAATTGACAAGAACCATCTGCTAACTGTGGGCCTGGAAGGATTTTACGGTCCAGAAAACCCCAAAAGGTTAACTGTGAACCCAGAACTTTGGGCATCAAGTCTTGGATCTGATTTTGTTCGCAATTCCAAAGTCCCTGCCATTGATTTTGCCTCTGTTCATATATACCCTGATCATTGGTAAGTGATGCATGTTTACCTACCTCCACTGTCATTTGCTCAAGCCGATAAGAAAAGAAAATTTAAAAAAAATGAAAAAAGTTGTTGTTAACTAGCCATAATATTTTTCTCTTTTTGTTATTTGGTTTGTATGATGCTTTGTGTGAAACACTGAGAAACAATGTTCCATTTCTGTTGGGATGCCCTTGATCTCTTAATGGTTGCCTTGTCTTTTCATGCTTGTACATCTGACTTATAACCAATCTATCCTTTACATTGGCAGGTTTCCTCATCTAGAATTTGAAGATAAATTGAAATATGTCTCCAAGTGGATGCTTTCCCACATTGAAGATGGTCACTATGAGCTAAATAAACCTGTCTTCTTCACTGAATTTGGTTTGTCTAACCTGAACAAGGACTTCCAGCCATCCCAACGAGACCGATTTTACAAAACCATTTTTGACATCATTTATAAATCTGCGAAGAGAAAGCGGGCTGGAGCAGGTGCTTTGATCTGGCAGTTGTTTGTTGAAGGAATGGACGAGTTCAATGATGATTTTGGGATTGTTCCCTGGGAAAGGGAATCAATATACAGAATTCTGACTGATCAATCATGCAGATTGGCCAGAATCCAGGGAATGACTCAACAAAATAAATATTTGAAAGAATTGTGTTTGCAGAGGCAGTGAAATTTAATGTTTCTATTTCTTTAAGGGGGGTATGTGTTCTCATCTATGGTGTGGGATTGCAGAGGCAGTGAAATTTAATGTTTCTATTTCAGCTCACAGGTTTTGTACCATATTCTTCTCAATTATACACGCGTTAATGAAAGCAGGTAGATGAATTAGATAACCATATAGAATTATAGAGATTGCAGAGACTGCTCTGAAATCTTTTGCTTTTCACATTAGAGGCTTATGATTTGATGCCTCCAAAAGCAAGTTAGATTTAGGAATTTTATTTGCCTGTAATAAAAGTGTGTTAAGTTTCGGGATTGTACAATCTGAAGCTCAAAAGGGCCAATGAAATCTTTACTTATCTAATTATTTTCTTTTAACTGTCACTAAATCATTTCCATCCACTTCATTTCCTTAAAGAGGCAGTTATTCAATTTCCTCGAGCAGACTATAATTTCTTGTGTTTCGGCAAACACAAATTTGGGGAGTGCATATTTTCTGGGAAAAAAAAAAAACGTAACAGCTTTGATCAACTAGTTTGCAACAAACGTTGTTCGGTGTTTCCTTAAAAGTTGGTGAAAGAGAGAGAACCTGACAGTGAATAGCTAATTAAGTTTTGAAGTGTTGTTAGTCCTGCTAAAATAAGCAGATGAAATAAACAGAGAGATGTTTAAGGTGAAGTTTTACGGTAGCAGAAAAAACTGATGCAGTTACTTCCTTAAAAGACAAGAAAGTCAGCAATAAGATAGAAAAAAAACTTCATATATGTTTCAAATCTTGTTATGTTTGGGAAAAGCTTCGATAGACTACGCACAAGAGTTTATGGCTGAGATTATTTTTGTTCATGTTTTTTGTTTTGCTTATGTTAAGATTGTTTTAATAGGTCTGTCTATGGTTTTTTTTGGCTTCAGCAAGTGGGTTGGGAAAACCACAGCATGATGCCTATTATTATTATTTTATAAATATACTAAAAAATATATATATATTCACTGTAGCTAAACTCTGTTATAATGAAGGTAAACGACCTTGTTTTGATTTTTTTTAACGACGCTGTTTTTTTTTTTAAAAAAAAAAGAGTGATTTTTTGGTCAATTTATCTATTTTTTACACTTTGTCTTTCCATTTATAATTTTATACAAAACAATCCCTTAACCTAATATTTATTGCATAAAGATCCCTGTGTTTTTTATGGTTGGGGCCAGGTGCATGGGCCTGGTCGTCTCTAGGCCCATATGGAAGGGCCTTGTGTTAACCCAGCCCAGCCCAGCCTCTCTTCTTTAAAAAAAAAATATCTTTTTTTATGTTTTTGTTTTTTCATTATTTACTCAAAATAAAAACTTTCCCTTTTATGCTTTTATTTTTTTCATTATTTATTATTTACTCAAAATAAACGTTTTCTCATAATGAATGGTTTTATTTTTATTTTTTTATAGACCAATTAACTAAAATTAAACATTCTTATAATACAAATTGATTAAGCTAATTTGATTTTTAAAAAAAATAAAAGATTAATTGCAAGTTTTCCATTTTATTGATCAAAATCAAAAGTATTCCTAGGATGTATTTAAACTCAATTATGAAATATATATATATTACATAATATATATTAAATTAAACAAATTCTCACAATTAGTGTTAATTAATTTTTATTTTACACCTAGTTTGTTTAATTATTGAAAACATTAAAACAAAAATTAATGGTTACTTTCTTATTTTTTTTATAGACTCATTAACTAAAATTAAATTCTCCTCTATAAATTGGTTTAGCATATTTTTCTAATTTGATTTAAAAATAAATAAATAAATACATGATTTTTTTTATTGATCAAAATCAAAACTATTTTTAAGATATATTTAAACTCAATTACGGAATATACATTATATTAAATATTGCATAATACCCATTAAATAAAATAAATTCTCACAATTCGTGTTAATTAATTCTTATTTTATGCCTAAATTTTTTAATCATTTAAAATAATAAAACATAGTATATAGTATAAAACATAAAAAGCTTGCAAATCTCTGTTTCAGAAGTCCTATAACAAAACACACACACACAAAAAAAGTGTAAAATCTGCTCTCTGCACACTTCTGTGTACAATTTGAAGCTGATCTTGAAGAGCTTGCAATTTGCCGGAGGTTCCATTAAAGTCTGAACTTACCAAAGCATATACTGATGTAGAAACATGATATGCAACATCTGTCCAATTTGCCACACCATTTTAACTAATTGAATTCTTCCTAAGTGAGGGTTTGAACTCGAGAATCCTTTTTTTTTTGGTGGGGGTGTTGCTCCTGCAAGGTAGATACACAGAAGAAAACGAAAATGGTAACTGCATTGATTAACTAGTTTGCTGGAAACATTGTTCAGTGTTTCCTCGGAAGCTGGTAGGAAAAACCTTCTACAATGTTTTACTCAGTATTGACCATGATAATCACAGCATTAAGAATTTAATCTGAACATTAAGAACAAAAACAAAAACCTCTCTGTTCCACAGAGTCAGACTTGCTTGGATTCAGGAGCAAGTACTGAATTGGAGACAGACAGGTAAGCAACTATCCAAGTTGCAGTGAGGCTTGGACCAACTCTTTGTATGTTATTGTTGAGGTTATAAATCAAGCTTGCCGCCATACTGTTCAGTTCGTTTGAACTTTTTGGTTATCAATGGCTCTCTAGTTGTTATAATTACTGGACTTCGTGGTCCAAACCAATCATGTTTTCGGACTACTTAAGGATTCTATTCTAAGTATTCCTGATGATGATCCCGCATCATCAAGAACAATCAAGATCTTTTCCGATGGTGCTTATTCTTTTATCTGATCATTTGAAGCAGTACCCAAAAGTTTCCTACTTTGGTTGCTTTCAAGCAAGATTTGGTTAAAAAAAGCTTCAAGGTACAGAAATTTCTTTATTATTTTTCAAGAAAGCCACAGCCTTCAAATTGAGTAGAAATTTGATCATAAGCAGCCTTCGTAATTGTAGTTTTACCTATGCCACCGCTGCCTCCAAATTCCAACAATGCAAACATCATGGAAATGAAGGTATAATTATGATATTTTCACTGATGTGGGAATTGATTTTTGGGATATATAGTTTGCAAAGAATATAAGAAAGTTGTCACAAATCTAAAAAACACTTCCTCCAAAGTCCAAATTGTTTATAATAAGTGCTTCTACTAGTGTCATAAGTGAATGTCATGTCTGGTGTGTGTGTATATACATATATATATATCCCCCTTCTCTTCTATATAGATTTGCTTATTGCAGGTGGTAGTCATGACAGAGTATTAAGACCTCAAGGAAAAACCAAACTCAGAACAGAATAGATTGCTTCTAATCCACGCGAATAAATATCCACCAATTAATGGGGTGCTTTTCTTTTTCTTCAGAATGTGAAAATAAGCTTGTTATAATCTGAAACCAAATAGTTAATACCATGTTCCACAATGATTATTGAATTCCAAAAGGGCATCAAGTTGAGCAATTAAGGAATAGGAAAGACCAAAGTTCTAGTATATCAATAATGAGAGTGGCAGTGAAACAGTACCTGGGAAACAGTAATGATAGCTGAAATTTGGATCCACTTAGCAAATCAGACAAACTATGAAGTATTGTTTACTCAAATCAATATAAACAAACCCATATATATAAAATCAATATATAAATAAAATCAAAGTAAAGGATAATGTCAATGAGATTGCAAGGTTTGTATTCTTAACAATGAGATTGCAAGGTTCTTAACAACACAAACTTCATTTCATCTCACACCATTAGTTGAAACTTAAAAACAACTGAAAAAAAAAAACGAAAAGAAACCATCAAAACTAAGACTACGTTGATTTTTCGTCAACATTAACGTAACTCAGAAACTATGAGCTTACCAGATCACCAACTTTCACATTCTCACTCTCCCTAGCCACCTTTTCAAAATCATGAATTTTATAAACATGCAAGATGCGTTCAATGGATAATCTTGGCAAAATTTCAGTGATAAGGCGTCCAGGAAGATAATGTGACATTGTTTACACAGAACAGGAATTTTTTCTTGAACGAACAGAGAGCAGACTTGGAGACCATGTACTTTATGGGTTTTTTGCAAGAGCAAAGTTATATTCGACTATTAAAATTTTAAGCATCTTGTTTAGTTGCATTCCCAATCTGTTACGGTACTTCATCTGCTTTTTGAAAGAAATTAAGAAGTAAAATGAAAATAGCAAACTAAAGGTAAAAATTTGCTGACTTACACTTCAATGTCTGGAAAAAAAAACCTCATCTGGCTTTACAACTATGAAAATGGAAATTCATTGTTCATGTGAAACGAACTATTAGTTACAGATTGCAAGACAATGAGTGACAATAGTAAGATACCTCATAGGCTCATAGGCAAGTGATCCTGAAACCAAAAATTTACATCGTTCGCTCTGCAAATTTTGCTGGGCACTTCAGATCAGATATCTATGGGACAAACATGCTGCAAATCATACTTTATGCTCAACACTGATTCGAAATTACCTTGTTGATAAAGCAAGTTACAGAGAAGCAGAAAAGGTTTAACATTTAGCTAGTTAAGCTTTAGAACATAAAGTTTTCATAGCAATGACAGAAAGGGTGATTCAAACCTGCCTGAACCCTTGGTTTCTTTCCAGTAAAACAGCATCAACCTGTGTCACAAAATCATCAGGACGTATAACATTTATTGTCCTCCTATTCACTGGATATATATATATATATATGCACGTTAATTCCCAGCAGCATTGTAATAATACATAACATAATGACACCTTCTCATAGAAAAACAAAACCCGATCATTAAAATGTTCGTCATTGTTATATATAAGACATAAATGAGACCTTGCTATACATAACAGTGCAATTAGGTTCTTCTACCTATACCTCATGAGAAAACAAAACCAAGAAAAAAAAAGTCCCTAATAGGTCTAATTCACTCATACAAACATGCACCAAATGTTGGAGGTTTTTCGGATTTGGAAACAAGCTCTTGCTGTAACATGACCTTACCAAATAGTGAAATACCATGGGCAAAAACAAGGGTTCCATTGCCACAAGACCTCAATATCAAATTCAGCATTTAAGGCTCGGAAGGAAAGAAAACAATATACAAAAACGTTACATTGGCAATAAGGTGAACACCAAACCAAATTAACAATGATTTGATCTGAAATTTAGGTTCTCCTTAGCAAATCAGACAAACCATGAAGCATCTTCAATTATATGAAAATAAATAAACCACAGTAATCAGAACAAATGATGGCGAAATCACAACAAATCTCAGTAAAAGAGTCTTTCTATGTAACCATAATGAAGATACACTAGAAGAAATCGAAACCTTTAATTCTTCTCAACATGAATTTCATTTCAATCTCAAATCAAATAGTTAAAACTTAAAAAATCAACAATAAAAACAGAAAAAGGAAACCCTAAAACTAAGTCTATTTGTCTATTTTTCGTTACATTTAACACAGCTGAGAATCCGATATATTTCAAGCCTCACTCACATATCTAACTTGATCTTTGCTTAGCCAATCTTGGTGAACTCCTAATCCCACCACTAACAACCCCATATCCATTCTCTTAACCACTTTTCTTACCTTTCTTTCCACTCCTTAATATCTTTCCTTCTCTGTTAACCTCCTCGGCAACCTTCTTTACCAAACCAGCAACCTTCACATTCTGGTTCTCCTTAGCTACCTTTTCAAAATCACCGACTAACTTCCTTGCTAGCCCTCTTTTAACCTTAATAAGATCCTCAAGTTCTTGATCCTCTTCTTCTTCACTCTCCTGCTCGTCAATCAACTGCAGGAACCTCCTCTTCTTTGTCACTTTAGGAGCCGGAGGAGGCGAAACAGACCCGCTCCTTTTCTTATTCCTCTCTTTCTCTCCGCCTGGAGCCAGATCTTTCTTCTTTGGGCTAGTTTTGGCTAGCAACTTGACTTGTTTTTCACGGTGTTTTCGTAGTTTCTCAGTATTTCCTTCGATTCGACCCTGATAGCGAAGGCGGGTGAAGCTGAGCCCTCCCATTGACCAGTGAGCTTCATTAGCCCATGAAAGAAACGGATCCATGACAGAAACTGGTGGGTCTACTCGTTCAGTGTTGTGTTTTACATCAGTGTAGATTCGGGGACGAGGAAGGCTGCTGCCATAGAATTTTCCAGGGCCTAAAGGGACTACCATTGTTGGGTTTTTCTTTGGGGAATTTCAACAAACAAGTGGTGGTCGGTGGATTCAATTGGTTTGTAAGTGCAGAAATGCCAAGGTGGGGTTGGTGGCTGCTGTTGTTTTGCGACGGGTTATAAAGAAGAGGGCTTTTGGCGTGTATTTTGGGCGGGTAATGTTCGCGGGTTACATTGGCGCTAAATATTGGCGCCGGATTTTTCACTTGGAAATTTTTGGTGCGAAAATGGAAATGTTTTTGGTGTGTGAGTTGGACATAGTCATTTGTTGACACGTGGTGAAAACAGTCAATCTACAGTCCCAACGGCCAATTCTGTTTATGGGGAAATTGCGGCAGGGAATGGTTGGCATGGCATTAATTAGGGACGCAAAATAAACCGCGCCGATGGAATCCGATATATCCGACCATGGGTGGCTTTATGCGGTATTTTTCTTGATAATTAAATAAAGATAATAGAAAATACGTCGGCAATTGGTACGTTGGTATTTTTCATCCTATATATATATATTTATTTATTTTTTCGTCAAGTCTATTTTTTAATAATTAGTTTTTTAAAATAATTTTTTATTGAATTTACAATTTATTTTTAATTTTGTATAAAATTTGCGGTAAGATTCAATTTTTATAAGAATTTAAAATTTATCTTTTTAGTAATACATTGTAACTACAAAATACTATTTGTCATTATTATTATTAGCCAGTAATCTCTGAACTCGTAGTTTAAGATAAAAGGATCATAAATAATTCTTATATGACACAATTAGTTTAAGCGAACTAAATTATACGTACGAGAATAACAGGATTTTCTTATTATTATTTTTAACTCATAGAAGAGGTTATTAACGATTTATTAAAATATTAGATAATAATTAGAAAGTATTTGATTCGATGATTCAAAACCGAATTTGAGTTGGATTTGGAATTTAAGTTTAGAAATTTATCAAAACTTCTAACAAAAATCTAGCTAAACATAAGTTTGACTTTGACAAAACAAAAAACAAAACTAAAATACTCATGTAGTTAAGCTTTATAATTAGGATATAGATGATACTATGAATTACTAGTGCAGTATTGAATGTTGTTTTTTCGTTTTTCTTTTTGTTATTATTATTATTATTATTTTACCACAATATGTGGATAGAATTGAATTTCAAAAAAATAAAAATAAAAATAAAAAAAACCATGCTATTATTCTTCCTATGTACAATGGATCGTTGAGACTTCAAATTTGTTCGTATAAAACTATAGATGGATAATTTTGCATATTTTAGTATGCTGATTATTAAAAGTGCTTGTACATTTTTATATTACTATAGTAATTGACTCCACGTTTTTTCTCACATCCCATTGGCTTCTTACACGATTGGATATTTTATCAAAGAAGAAGGTGCTTTTTTATTACGCAGTAAGCTTGAATGCTTAGAATCTATTGTATAGTACGTCGTATTAGTGAGTTAATTATACGTGGCGTGTCTTCCAACAAATAGCGTAAATCGATTTTAGTGACCTAGGAAACTAACATAGGTATCACGTTATATATGACTTTGCAGTCAATCAAATAATTTTTTAGTTTATAAATGACAATAACTTCCATCAATTTAATGAATTAAGTTACTTGGTAATCTAGTTATACATATTTTAATCCAATAGTAGTTTCTCTAAATTATGGTTTTCATCTATTTAGTAAATCAAGTACTTTGTTAATCCTGTTAGAGATTAATATAAATTATATTATAGGACCTCACCCATCGACTTAAGCTTTTAGGTGAGATTGTTCTTTAATATGATATCGAGCCTAGTTGACCTTCGCTTCTTGAGTTCAAGTCTCACCATCTTCAATTTCTCAAGTATTAAGCACAAGGCAATGTAGACTCGTGCAAGTTTTCATGCCCTAAATGTTAGGCCTTTCACTCGAGGGATGTGTTAGAGACTAATATAAATTATATTCTAGGACCTCACCTATCGACTTAAGCTTTTAGGTGAAATGTCATTTAATAAATCCATTTATAACAATTGTTATCCAACTGGAATTATCTTTTCTACATAGTGATATTTTTTTTGTTTTATTGATGAAAGTTTAAGGGTTTTTTTATGCTCTAATCGCAATGAATAAGAGAAAAACGAGTTTGGCTAGTATTACCTTAACTATTTCTACATAAAAACTTTCTTTATGTTCTAAGTTTTTTTTTTTTTTCCCTGTTCTGGCTGAACATGACTTGCATGTAACGTGTTGGATATCACAACACGCATGTAGTTTGGTAGTTCCAAAATGATAACTAACATAAGCTTTATGGCTAGGACTTAACCTTTTCGTTTGACATTATCTCGTTTATATCCATAAAGAGATAATTACATATTTTTAATGAAGGAAGCCACCAGGTACACAAAAACTAGATTGTACATATTTCTTTTATTGTTGTAGTGCATGTTTATGTGTGACATATTTCTTTTATATATATAGGCTAAAAAATCCATGATTTAACAGATACATGAAGTTTTTATTTTAATTTTTTGTAGGAAACGGATTGGAGTACTAAAGTTTATAGAAACGTAAGTGTCAACATAAATTTAAATTGCATGGGTTCCATATTAGAACACAATAAAAATGACATTATGGCATTAATTGAAATAAACTCCCCTCGATAAAACTCTAATTAATTAGAACAAAATAAAACTAACCGAAAATTTGACCACCAACAATCGAACATCCTCTTTCAATATATAAATTACTCAACCCTTTCCATCCCAATATATCACTCTCCTCATCCTAGCTAGACATCAATCAAATTAGAAAAATAACCATATATAAAGGGTTTTCAGCTATGGCAAAGCTTAAGATCTCTAGTGTCGTTATTGCCTTATTCCTAATTGTCTCACCAATGGTGCTAGCTGAAGAAGTAGAAGAAGAGTTGAGTCCTTCAGGTGAACCGCTTTCTACTTCACCGGAGGCTGAACCAGGACTTTACAACTACGTGGAACAATGTTCAGCCATGGTAGGCCAGAAATGTGGGGAGGAGATTCTACATGGCTCCTTGTTGGGAAAGCATGTTACTCTCGACTGTTGTGAGAAACTTCTGCTAATGGGAAAGGAATGTGATGATGCATTGATGAAGATCGTTCTTGAATTTCCTGAATTCAAAGAACATGAAGAAGAAGCTTTGGCAGGGGCTAATCGACTCTGGGAAAGCTGTACTTTAGCCGTGCAAGCTACCTCACCTTCCCCTTATAACTATTAATACTCATATCTGTATAAACCTAAAAAGTTGGCATTTCATTTTCATTTATGTGCTCCAAATCCAATTCTACCTCATGGTATATGTCCATTTGAAGGCACCTTTTACTTTTTAATCAACTTATTCATAAATGGCTATAGCTTTCATCGATTTAATGAAAGAAGTTTCTTGGTAATTCAATTATGTATATTTTAGTCCAATTGCGAATGCTAGACCTCATATATTTGGTGAATCGAGTTTCTTGTTAATTCATTTATACCTATTGTTATCAAATTGCAATTAAAATAAATGAAACTATTTTTTACACATTTGGTTTACAAATGACAATGGATCATATATAAAAATGAGTATTCATTCTATCTCATCCTATAAATACTCATTAAAAATATATAATATTCACAGAAGGAGGTAAGACTACTAAAGTATATACCAACTAATATAACTTTAGGCATGGGTGCCCTTTTTATACCTTACAAGTACCAACTAATTTGTTTTTTGGAAAAAAACATTAACCTACAAGGACTTGATTTCACGAATTTTATTAAATTAAGATAAAATGTTTTGTGAAAATATGAGGACCCAAAGACGTTTAAATAAAGGATCAAATTGCAAAAAAAAAAAAACATATTATTTTAAGGACTAAAATAACCATTTTCAAAACTACAAGGACTAAAATAAAATATTTTGATAAATTATTTGTGGGGGACATTGAATGAGTATTAAATGAGTGGGTAAATGGAATAGGAGCCGACTATGAGTTTGGAAAGAAAAGCAAGATTGTAAATCCAAAACAAAAAATATATAAAAATACATATTTTGAAATAAAATTTGCATGCTCCTTAATTTCCATTATTTTCTATAATTTTTAGGTAGTTATATAAATTTTTAAGATTTTAGAATATACTTGGTATTTTTATTTCGATTCAATATATATATATATATATATAAGCATTAAAAAGAGGACATAAAAGAAAAGATAAAAAGAGGGATTGAAAGTTAGAAGGAAAAAAAACAAGAAGAAAAACAACTGAAATTAGGACAAAAATTAAAATGAATTCAAAGAAGGGAGGGAAAATTAAAAGAAATTAGGGTAAAAATTGAAAGAAATTAAAAAGAAAAACTTATGAAGAAGAAAAAAGGGAAAAATTAAAAAAAGGGCATAATTAGTATAAATTAAAAAGAAGGAGGATTGAAGAATAATTTAATCATCAATTAAGCATGTAATTGAAAGGAAAAGAAAAAACAATTCGAAGGATGAAATAAAAAAGCGCTGAAATACATGGATAAAAAAATATAAATAAAACGATGTGTTTTATTCGTAGCATGGGGGAAAAAAGGAAAGAAAAACTACGCCGTTTACTTGGGATTAAATTCCAACCTCGCCCCTTTTCTTTTCTTTTATTTATTTATTTATTTTTTAATCTCTTTTTTCTTCTTTCTTCTCAACATAGTACTCGTTCTTCTCTTCTTTGACGACTTGGTGCTCAATATTCTCTTTGTTATTTTGGCCATCCCCTAAACATAAGTCTAAACCCTTGCTCCCGTCTCCCTTTTATCCGGACTAATTTTTTATCAAAAAAAACAACAACCAAAGAAACCTTGAAATGGCCACAATCACATCCCAAATACTTTGCCATAAACGACCCCTCTAATCCTCTCGCATTTGAAAACAATCTAAAATGGTTGAGGAGAATGAAAATCACCGTAAGATTGATATCATCCATGCAGATCAATACTCTTCTCCAAATCCTATAAATAGAGCTAAAAACCATAGAAAACACATAAAAATAAGCGAGACTTAAGGGAGAAGAGTGAAAAGTCGGTTTTGGCGGTTTCAAAAGCTATATTTTGGGCAAGCTTTTTTCATCAATTCTCTTACCATTTCGCCATTTTCAATTTCTACTTGTATAAGGTATATCTTGTTATGAAATAATGAATGTCCATCATCATGTTCATCCACTTTTCATATCCCCACTACTCATGATTCTTAATATTATTCAATTCATCATTCAATATGAGAAATTGAAAGGGTGATGCAATTGATCATTCATAGTCCTTTCTAATTCTCTCCTCAATTTTGAAGCCTATAAATAGGCTTGATTATCCATTAGTTGGTGTACAAGTTTCCTAGAGAGAATAAGAGAAACTTTGAAGTTCTCATCACTCATATTTACATTATAGTAATTTCATTTTCTTGTCATCCTTTTCTTTAATTCTCCTATCATTTCTATTTATTTTATAACACGTTATCGGCACGAAGTTCTAACCAATCGAGATAATAGACTATGAGGTATGTATCTACCAAAACACTTAATCAATTATTTCAACCATTGGATTTCTTTTGCACAAGTGCTCTACCGATTGGATCCAAATTATTATTTAGATCATTAAGAGGTATGTATCTAATTTATTATGTATTTTAAATTTAATGATACATAGAATATATATTTGAAAAATTTTAATAATTTAATATATAGAATGCAATAATTTAATATATATTATTTGAAAAGTTCAAATTTTATTATTATATTTTATCTTTATTTCCTAACATTATAATTATACTTTGCATTATACAATTTTGATGATATCTTATCAATCATCACAAAACTTGATTTTGTGACCCTTGACATTTTGGGCAAAGATTATTGATCATGAGTGCTTGATGCTAAGTTAATATCATCTACTTTTCATGCCTCGAATATGCTTCTGCAGTAGCATATCAAGAAAAAGAGTTTAAGAAATATTATGAATCAATTTCATATTTGCTCATGGCTAAATAAAATGAAAAGCTATTGATGAAAAAGAATAAATCTCATCCAATTGGATCTATTCCATTCCCCGAAGTGAATGTGACAATTTATAATAATTTTAGACATGGATGAAGATGTAGTCATAGCCATGGATGTTGTCAAAATAATTATCATTATAATTGTGATGACTATAATATTACATCTTACCATCGAAGTGGATAACTATGAAAAAAAAAAAAGAATGAAAATAGATAAAGTCAATATTCCGAAGATGAATGTTATAAATATGGTATGAATGGACATTAGTCGTGTACACGTCGTACACCAAAGCACCTCATCAAGCCTTGTCAAAAGCTCGTTGAAAAAAAAATATATATATATAGAGGCTAATTTTATATATCAAAGTAATAATAATTGAAATTAATTATTTATTAGTTTTTCTATTTATAAATAAAATGTTTTATATTTCTTATAATTTATTTTGTATATTGATGGTTATAAATTTATTTTACTATTTATTTATTTGTTTGTGTTTATGAGGAATATATTGATTTATTTATTTTCTATTGATTTATTTGATTATTTATTTTATGTTAATATTATATATGATAATATCAATCTAATAGAAAGCTCTAGAAGAGCGACTATATTATTATCTAAAGAGATAGATTTTGAAGGCTCTAGAAGAGCGATTATATCATGACTTGAAGAGACAAAATTTTGAAATTCTAGAAGAGTGAATAAATTATTACTTGAAGAGAAAATGTTTAAAGACTCTAGAAGAGTCGATATATTATTACTTGAAGTGACTAATTTAAAGGCTCTAGAAGAGCAAATATATTATTATCCGAAAGGATAAATTTATTATGAATGATGTACTATTCTCTTCAAAGTCTTATAAAAATTTGTTAAGTTTCAAAGATACTTATCCGATTTGATATCATATCAAGATAGCAAATGTGAATACTTATATGTTATAATCATTATATCGGGTAGAAAATATCTATCAAAAAATTTATCCGTTTTCTCTTCTAGTATTTATTACAAACATTGAAATGATTAAAACAAATATTGTAGTAAACCGAAGTTTACTAATTCAAATACTTTTATTATGTGACATGACCGATTGTGCTATCTTGGGTCTTTCATGATGCAAAAAATTATTAAAAATTCATATGGACATCTATTAAAGAGCCAAGAGATTCTTCAATTTAATGAACTTTCTCATGTTCTCGCATGTTGCCAAGGCAAATTGATGATTAAGCCATCATCAAGTAAAATTGAGATTGAATCTCCAGTATTTTAGAATATATTCAAGGTGATATATGTGGATCAATTCATCCACCATGTGGATAATTTAAATATTTTATGATTTTGATAAATGCATCCACAAGATGGTCACATATATGTTTATTATCTACTCGAAACTTGACGTTTTCGAGATTGCTAGCAAATAATTTGATTTCAAGCATAATTTTTAAATTATGCTATTAAAACAAGTCACCTTGATAATGCTTGATGAATTTATTTCTCAAGCATTAAATTATTATTGATTGGCTATTAAAATAAAGGTTGAACATCTTGTTACTTATGTTCATACTAAAAAAGGTTTAGCAAAATCATTTATCAAAAGGCTCGAATTAATAGCTAAAACATTATTTAAAAATAAAACTCCTTGTTTATGTTTGGGGATATGTAATCTTACATGCAGCAACACTTATTCGCATATGACCCATAAGTTATCGAAATTCTCTCCTCTTTAATTGATTTATGGTCATGAGTCAATTATTTCTTGTTTAAGAATTTTTGGCATTGCAGTGTATATCCTTAGTGCTCCTCCATAATGAAATAAAATGGGCACTTAAAAGAAATTGGAAATATATGAATCCTCTTCGATAATTCAATCTCTTGATTTATGAACAAGAGAAAATTTTTACGAGCTCAATTTATCGACTCGTCATTTTGATGAAATAGTTTTTTCAACATTAGGGGAGAGAATAAGCGATTGAAAATGTTGAAAAAAGAGATTACATGGAGTACTCTATCTTTATATCAATTTGGTACAAAATAATGTGAACTAGAAGTTCACAAGATAATTTGTTTATAAGGTATTACAAACCAAGCTGCTAGATGTATTCTTATATCCTCAAAGAGTAAATAAAATGCATGTCATCGCCGAGAATGCTCATATTAGAATTGATGTCCCGAAGGACGATCTATTAATGTTATAGCTAATAAATCTAAAGCACGCCC